GACCAAAGAAATGGAAATAATATCTGTCAGGAATTGGCTGTTTATACAGAGCTTTGTGTTTATCTGAGTATTATGTAAGTTTGGAAAGATGATTTGTTTCTAAACCCCATTTCTCTTCCTGCAGCTTTTAAATTCTGCCTGCTTTGGTTGTATTCTTTTTAACTTTTCCTCAGTGACACAGTTATCATTATCAGCATCTCCTGCCCTCCTCCTGTCCTTTAAGAACAGGAATTTATTCCCAGTCGATGATAACTGGTCATCATTGATCATTATTTTCCTCTGAGTGTTTCGATTTGTGTTTAAGTCACTTGGTTCCTGGTGCTTGGGAAGCCTGGACACATTTTCCTGTAGTTCCTAGAAATGGAAACAGATAAGGATAAACTGTGCTGGGGGTTTCTGCACTGGGGGGGTGGGGAGGCCCTGGCACAGGTTGCCCAGAGAAGCTGTGGATGCTCCATCCTGGAAGTGTCCAAGGCCAGGTTGGAGCAACCTGGGCTAGTGGGAGGTGTCCCTGCCCATGGCAGGGGTGGGACTGGATGGTTTTAGTGTCCTTTCCAACCCAAACCAGTCTGTGCTTCCAGCAAACTGAGAAGCAGAGAGGTCGAAAAGCAGCTCCTTTGCTTTCCCTCCTCTTCATTCCCGTATCTGAAATCATCTTGTGAGGAGAACTGGATAATGCTTTTCCTCTGTCATTGCTGTCCTTGTCTGATGGAAGGATTGGGAACCACAGGGAGAGCTGGATAATGCTTTTCCTCTCCCATTGTTTTCCTGGTCTGATGGAAGGATTGGGAATCACAGGGAGAGCTGGATAATGCTTTTCCTCTGCCATTGCTGTCCTTGTCTGATGGAAGGATTGGGAACCACAGGGAGAACTGGATAGTGCTTTTCCTCTCCCATTGCTTTCCTTGGCTGATGGAAGGATTGGGAACCACAGGGAGAACTGGATAATGCTTTTCCTCTTCCGTTGTTTTCCTTGTCTGATGGAAGGATTGGGAACCACAGGGAGAGCTGGATAATGCTTTTCCTCTGCCATTGCTGTCCTTGTTTCATGGAAGGACTGGGAATCACAGGGAGAGGGACCTGCCTGTTTGTGAGGAATGGGATCTCCCATGGGATGCCTGTCCCACAAAAGGATCCCAGTGAGGCCAAGCAGGTCGTTCGTCCAGCACCACTCACTTTTCTGGATGCAAATGAATCCCAGATAAACCTTTCAATGTTGTCTCACCCCCCTCAGTGCCCATCTCTGCTCTGGGTTTGTGTGGTTTCATCTGCGCTTCCCCCCTTCCCTTCCTCGAGGAGCAAAGAAAAGGATCACGAGAGAGGGTTTTTAATAAAGCAAAATGGAACAAACTGAAGGAATTTTGTCATCTGAATGTTAAAAATGGTGTTTATCTCTTTGCATAGGATATGGCAAACTGCTTTAACATATGGGGAGTTAATGAATAAGCAGCTTTTGCCTCACCCAGGTCTGTTCCCTCCTCCCACCATCTTCCCTTCAGAAGCTGAAGTTTGGGAACAAATCCTATACTAAATTAACTCTGTATTAAAGCAACACTTAGGGAGATAGTTTGCTGGATTTCTCTGTTGTGGTACAATATTTAGAAAACGTTGCAACTCTAAATTGAGCCCCCTGAGAAGTAAAACACTGCATTTTTAGGATACCTTCTAGAGGGTGTCCTGTTATGTATTATGTGGAAAAATTCTCCAGGAATAATCCTTTAGTCCGTTTCAGTTTCCTCAGAATATGACAGAAATATTTTCCCTTAAACTTGTCTATTTTTTTTAATATTCTCATACTTTCTTAAATATCCCTGTGATTTTAATTTTGGGCAAGCTGGATGTAAAAAAAAGAGTGGAATACGCAGGAGTTCACATTTTCACTTGTGTTGTTCCCTGTGCTTTGTGCAATTGCAT